CTGAAGCTGGGGTCAAGATCATGGATGCCTAGTAGCCACATCAGATGATCAGTAATGGTCCCAGTCAGCCAGTTTCGACCTGAGTATCACCACCCAGTCGCAGCTTCCAACCACAATCAGTCCTAGAGGAGATTGTCAGAAACCCAGCCCGCAGGACGGAGAAGAACCAGTCTCAGCCCCAGTAGCCACCACATGGGTCCCTGTGGCCATAATCATCCCGTGTCCTCAGGCGGTGCAGGCTACAAACGTGCCATGAGGGAGGGAATTTATCTGTCTGGTTCTCTATTGTTTCCTTGGAACCCAGCAGGAAGGCAGACACAAGGGCTCAGCTGGGTGTGTGTATTTATCACAAGTTTAATTAATGACTGCATTAATAAACGGCTTCTATTTGGGGGTCTTGCTCTGTGCTGCATGGTTGTATCAGTCAGGGTTCACCCAAAGAAGCAGAATCAATAGGAGACATATATTAAGAGGTTTATTGAAAAGAACTGGCTTATGATTGTGAGGACTGGCTAGGTAAGTCCAAAATCCATAGGGCAGGCCATTCATATATAAGTTCTAAGCCTTACACTAACCCTAGTAAGTAGATATTAGTATTCCCAGCTTACAGAAGAGAAAATCGAGGCTCAGAGAGGTTACACAGCTGGAGAGTGGCAGAGCTAGGATGCAAACCAAGGCCTGACTGGCTATTCTTGTCCCTGTGCTGCTGCTCCTTAGCTTGTCTGTCACACTTCCTCAGTGACAGGTGGACACACACAGGTGGACACACCAATCTGTCTCAGTCAAAACTCATCTCTTGGTGGGTTGCAGACTAGACTAGGCCCTGCAGTCATGGCTAATCACAATAAGCTGCTGCTGGATTAACCAGAGATGGCCTCCATCAAGTCACAGTCACGCATGTCACACTCAGCCCATCATGTCAGTTCAATTTCCTGCCTGAAGAAGCTCAGCTTCCTCCCTGACCCTCCTTATTCCCAGTGTTGGGTGCTGAGCTCCGTGGTCTGATCTGAGAGCTCCCTGTACCAGCTGGGCTCACCATCTTCTCAGAGACTCCAGCACTAAATTATGGGCTTGGAAGCTACAGATGGGGGCCCTGGAATGCCACCTTATGGGTCACATGTCCATCCAGATCAGGTTTTCAACTCTGATACTGCTGACAAATCAGACCAGATTTGTTGTGGGAGCTGTCCTGTGATTATAGGATGTTTAGCAGCATCCCTAGCCTCTACCTACTAAATGCCAGTAGTCCCCCTCAGTTGTAATAACCAAAAATGTCTTCCGACATTGCTAAATGTTCCCTGGCGGAGGGCAAAATCACTCCCCTCCCCTCCATTTGAGAACCACTAATCTAGATTAATCAACCCCAGGTTATTCCCAAGCAACACAGAGGCTGACCCTGTATTTCTGGGAGATAAAGATACAGATCCAGAGTGTGTGGGGACCCAATATTTGCAAACCGTGTCCTATTCCAGAACTCCATGGGTGACAGATAACTAAAAGAAACGTACAGGAAAAAATTCAGGGAAGGATTCACAAAGCTCCTGAAAGCAACTGCCTCTGACAATGGACAGGAGTCTGGAGAGGGTTGAAGAATTGCCTTCACTGCACAGCATTTTGTGTCATTTAGTGAATTACCTTTAGAAAGAAAAAAATAGTATTTGGTATTCAAAATTACCAGGAAATGCTCAGAATTTAAGTTTAAAATAGTATTTAGAATGGTATGTACCGGATAACTTAAGCTCTGAAGAGATATACGTATCTGGGAAAAGAGTGGAAGAAAATGTACCCAATTATTTGCAGTGGTTCTCACTTGTGAGATTTGGGGCAATATAGAAAGGTGAGTCACTTAGTAGAATAGCAAGGAAAGTGTGGTACATGCAACTCAGGGAGCCCAAGGAGTAAGTTTTACATGGATTATGGGTTTTTAATTTTATATCTTTGCACTTATTTTTATGAAGACCTCCTTTCCTTGGCAAGTGACACTAGTTTTGATTTATGGAAGTAGTATCGTTTCATGTATATATATGTATATACATATATACATATATATATAATTTACAGAGTTCGTTTGAATAACTAAGTCACTAATGGGACAGGTGGCACATACAGGGATATGGCAATGTATCTGGTGGTGGACAAAAGTTGAAGCTGGGGGTTGCTCTATACATTATCCACTAGGCTCCCATAGAGAGGGTTATAGGAAGAGACCCCAATGTAAGTGTTCTTCTTTCAGAAAGAGGAGGGATCATGCTGTTCCTCCATACAGCAGGCCCCTCTGTATCCTGGGGCCCACATCTTACTGTTCCTTCTGCCTAGAATATTCTTGCCCAGGTCCCTCACCTTACTGGCTCTTTCTCTTCATTCAGTCAGCTCCTCCTCAGGGAGGTCATAACTGGCCACCTTATTGAAGTGGTCTCCTTCAGCAGCCACTACCTGCCTCTGTGCATTTCCTTCCTGGTGCTGATCACTCTGGAATTGTCTCTGGCTGCTTGCCTGTTGTACTGTTTCCTGTGCTCTACCAGCCCAAGAGGTCCTGGAGGGCAGGAACTTTGTCTTATTTGCTGCTGCGCCTGCAGAGCCTAACCCAAGTCATGGACCACACTGGAAGCCACAAATATGTGTTGAATGAAAGTATTCAAGGGTGGGATTTCTTCTACCCCAGTTTTAGCCCTTCCCACAATGCCAACTTGTACTGGTAGCTAAGGTCAGAGAGAGAGAGAGCAGAGATGCCAAGGCAGTTTGTGGTTCAGCATCAAACACATTTATTTCACTTTTATTGAGTATACAAGAACAGAGAGCACACGCATACAGCACAGAGCACTGAGGTGGGGGAGCAGGGGACGGGGGGGAGGGGTGTGAGTAAAAAGGAACAGGACAGCATCGCAGTCGGTTGGCAAGTGCTTTTGAGAAAAAAAAAAAATCCTTTAGAGTGATGTTGCTCATGCAATTGCAGGCCAGTCTTGGAATGTGCTTGCAGGATTCACACACTGAAACAGGTCCTGGCACTTCCTGTCCCCTCAGACGGAAAAGATCCCAAGAAAGCAAAACAGGAGAAAATGAAGATCTGTGGGACAGCAGACCCGGAAAAGACCCTGGAGAGCATCTGGTATATCCTGCTCATTTTGCAAATGGGGAAACTGAGGCCCCAAAGGGGGGGGTGGGACTAGTCCAATGTCACATGGTGAGTTAGGGGCTGAGCCAGGATACCCTCCAGGACATTTTCCACTATGCTACATGGTCTCCTGGGTGGAGAGGCAGCACAGAAAGGATGAGAAATGTAAAAAGGAAAAAAAGAAAAGTAGGTTGAAGACAGACAAGACAAACATCTATATTGTCTAGGAAGAGGAGGATGGGAGGAAACAGTGCCCTAGATTTCAGCTTTGCAGCTCCCCTCCTCCCTTGTGGCTCTCCCTGTCTCTCCATGGAAGGAAGGTCACAGCATCCGTGGGACAGAGACAAACAAACCCTGGCCGGCCCACAGGCTAAGCCCGGTCACTTCATCCCTGCTCTGAAGCCACACATTCAGGGGCTGTAGACAGGTATCGAATCCAGAACAAATACTCTCCCTCTGAGGTGTGACCAGTGTGCTCAGGATGCCTGGTTCCTGCAAAGACAGGGGGGCCTGAGCCAAATTCCGGGTAGCCCAGGGAGGGTGGAGCCATTCCAGTTCTTGGCCCAGAAAGAACAGGAGCTCTCCAGTTGAAAGGGGTGGGAAGGAGGTTCTGTGGCTTCTCCACCAAGATAGTAAAAAGAACCTGGTGCATGGAAGTGAGCTGTCGCACTCAGGGGGGGTTGGAGTGGGGGCCACTGATCTTAACTGGGGGGCGGGCTGAATCTCCCATCTGAGCCCCAGGGGCAGGGCTCTCTCTGCCTGCTCTCTGTCCCATTTTTGCCCACAGAGGCAAACACTGTTCTGGTTTCTTGTCTTCAGGTCAGCACCAGCTTAGCAAACTAAGCATATATGTCATTGGGGTAACTGAGAAGTAAGCCGGGGCCCTCTGTGGGGGGGGTATCCCTGGGCAATGGCCAATAATTGGAGAGAATGTGGAAATGCTCTCAGAGGGGCAAGCCATGATTGAAGATGTAAGGCTGGCTGAGAGGACTTCCAGGTCCCTCCCCTCCCCCACATTCTCTCCTGCAGTCCAAGCATAGTGCCTGGCACAAGTAGGTACTCAATAAATATTTGTTGAATGAATTTAATGACCGCTGTAGAGGTAGGAGGGGGGACTGAGAAATTAAAAGTGCGGTGGGGACATATTCCCTCCAAAGGGGACTCATTGAGCTCAGGGAAGCAGCTCCTGGCAGGCAAGACTGGGAAATCCCAAGCTTTGGAAGGGGTATTCTCCAAGGGCTTCTGTGGTCTGAAGGCAATTCTGGGGACTCTGACGGTACAGGCTCAGAGCTCAGACGCTGGCTAAAGGGGAGGTTTCCAAAGCCAGAGTCTCATACATAGAAGGAGCCTCTGAGCAATACCACCTTTCATCCGCGGCTTGTCGGGGGGCAGGCAAAGCCTTTGGAAATGAAGTTCTACCCTATGGGGCCTGCCCTGTGTTCATGGTCTCTACCATGGGTGCTCTGGCCCAGGAGGAAGAAAACGAATGCGGGAGGCATAGAGGATGAGAGCGAGCCAGGCTCTCCAGACAGCCAGGTTAAAGCCACCATCCTCTGCAGTGGCTGGTGGGTGTCACATCACTTGGGATGGGGAGTCAGCTGTCACAATGTGGTCAGGGAAAAGATATGTGGCCGAAAAAAGAGAAGACTGAAAACCGAAGCAAACCCCCTAGGGAGGTACGGGGGCTGAGCCAGGGGACCCCTGTAGCGGAATCCTGACTCTGGACCCCACACCTGAGCACAGACCAGGCCCTGGTGGCTACTGCCGCAGGGGGATGGGGGGAAGGCATCTTGGACTACATCTGTGTTTCTTCCTTCTTGCCAAACCCCTGCCCCTCCATCTGGGGACCCCACCCCACCCCACCAATCAACCAGTTACAAATACCACACACTGTATTACTACGCTGAACCATCAGCTCCTACTGCGAGCAACCCATGGCCAGAGTCCAGGTCTCCTCGGCTGGGCCGGTTCAGTGAGATCTAAGAACCTTGGGATACATCAATCACAGTCGGATAATTATAATTTTTAAAATGTCAGCTTCATACTTACCAGCACTGTTTATTTTAATATTTGTTTCCTGTTATATGTCATATACATAACTTAAAAGCACATCCATACACATCTACAAGCCGCACCCTCGTAATGAGAACCCATGAACATACACTGTCTACTTTCCTTCCTGTGGCTGGGTTTTCTGCTCTTGCCTTCTTTTCTTTTTCTTGTTCCAAACCAGAGTCATCTGCAGCGGCCCTTGGCAGGACCAGGATACAGAGGGTGGGGGAGGGGGAGGGGGAGCCGAGACAGAAATGACAAGACGCGGGAGTCGAGGGGGAGGGGAGGCGGAAGAAAGGAAGGTGGATTTTGCAGCCCAGTGTCAAGACCCAAAAAATAATAATCCAGTGTTCCTCCTCCTTTCTGAGTGGGGGATTTTCTTTCTTTCTCGGCAAACGGTTGACGGTGCATGTCTTGCTGCCGCGACTTCTCTTGCTTGGCCGCAAAAGTGCTTCCTTTGCACTGGAGTGGACAGCACACACTTTAGGACAAATGGGATGCTCGTCCACGCAAGGTCACGTGCAGAACCAGGATGGTTTTGTACTCCTACGGTCACTGTGGTCTGGCTTGCTTTTGTCGTTCCACAGGGCTTCGAAAGGGGGAGCGAGAGATTATTGTCATTACATATATATATATTTTTTTTTTTCCTGAAAAATCCCACCAGTTCATCAATTTGTCTGCAAAGAAAATGTAGGTGTCCAGATGGTTGTTGCTGCCGGCCGACTGCGTGACCAGCCCCAGCAGCGGGGCAAGGACGCGGCGTTTCCCGTATATATATCTTTATCTATATATATCTCTATATATATGCTTTTCCTTTCCCAGTTCCTTTTCGGTGACAGTACGTCACAGCTGGGACTTCGGTGTTGAGTCGGAGAATCCAGAATGAAGGCCCCTTCTTAACGGTTCTCTGGCTTGGGTTGGACCAGAAACGCCAGCATCTCTTCACAGAGGTCAGGATTCCTAGGGCCAGAGGCGTGGATGGGAGGGGACACAAAGAGGACAAGAAGAATTAATAACGTTTGCTCATGGGCGCCTGTGTGGCTCAGCTGGTTAAGTGGCTCAGGTCATGATCCTGGAGTCCCGGGATCGAGTCCCGCATCGGGCTCCCTGCTCGGCGGGGAGTCTGCTTCTCCCTCTGACCCTCCTCCCTCTCATGCTCTCTGTCTCTCATTCTCTCCCTCTCAAATAAATAAATAAAATCTTAAAAAAAAATAACGTTTGCTCATTCATCTTTAAATACGTGGCAAGGGGTTGTTTTAGCTACCTTTCCTGTGGCTCAGGAAGATAGAGTGACTTGTCCAAGGCCACACAGCTGAGACCTGAACCCACATCTGTCTGGAAATCTGTCCAGGTTTCCTTTAACACTAAGAAGCTCAGATCACATACATGCGGTTCACCTTTTCCTCCCACCTTCTCTCAGCCTAAGAACTGTTTAGTTGTGATGGCAGAAGCTCTTTGTTTTTCCTCTCTGATCTCCGTGGGCCTGTGTGTCCTGGGGATTAAACCCCAGGGAGCAGCATTTCCATAAAGAAACTGGAGCCTGGATTCCAACTCAAGTTTGACTCCAAAATTTTGTGGTCAAGGGCATGAGCTCTGCAATCAGACCTCCTGAGTTCAAATCCCATTCCATGGCCTACAAGTGCTGCCATGTTGGGTGAGTTTCTTAACTTCTTTAGGCCTCCGGTGCTCGTCACTGTGCATGGTGCACAGCAGCTACCCAAAACCACTTAACAGGTGGGGTATCCTTCCTGCCCTTTCCCACTCACATGAGGTCAAGTACAAATGGACTCATAGACACGAAATCCTTTCTCAGTTTAGTTGACAGATGGGAAAATTGAGACCCAGAGGGTTCAATGTCATAGTGAGTTGGTGACAGAAATGAGACTAGAACCCAAGGTTCCTGCTCTGAAACAGGTCATTTTTTTTCTTCCCACTTCATCCAAATCTTGAAGGTAAGGAAGCTGGGTGTTGCTGGCAGTGTTTGGGAGACAAGTCCTGTCTGAAGGAGGTGGGCCAGTGGGAGAAGATGGAGCAGAAACCACACATCTGGCCATGAGTTGCCAGGGAAAAAAAAGACCCTGTGTCAGATGGGTGGGTGTGCTTTCCACACTCACAGCAAGAGCTTCAAAGAGGAAGAACTTCTGGAAGGAAGGCCAAGAGTCAAGTGGAGTCTGAGCAGATGTTTCTGGAGGCTTCAGGGACAGGAGAGAAGCTAAAGGCCAGCAAGATGGACACCCACAAGGAGACAGGGCTTGTGCACCAGGCTGGTGGCAGAAGCTTACGGTCTGACTTACTCAGGGCTCTCATCTGTCCCTGAACATGGCGAAACCTCAGGGGATAAGGATGCGGGTTCAAAGTGCTAAGCACTTTCTGTATGTGAGGCCCTGTCCTTGTGTGTCACTGCTGTGGATTGAGTATTTGTGTCCCCCCTACCAAAATGCATACGTTGAAGCCTTAATTCTCAATGTGAGGGGTTGGGGGTCTTCAGAAGGTACTTAGGTTATAAGGGTGGAGCCCTCATATATAGGATTAATGCCCTTATAAAAAGATACACAAGAGAGATTCTCTCTCTCTCTCTCTCTTTTTGTGCTCCCTTCCATGTAAGGACCAACAGAGAAGACAGCCACTTGCACCTTGATCTTGGACTTTCCAGCCCCCATAATTGGGAGAAATAAACGTGCATTGTTTAAGCCACCCAGTCTATGGTGTACTGTCACAGCAGCCCAAACTAAGACACTCACAGATGTTTAATTCTTATAGCAGCTCCAATTTCTAGGTTAACTGTAGATGAGGAAACTGAGGCCCAGGGAGGTTCCTCTGGGCAAACTGCTAGCAAGGAGTTTCTGGCCCCAAAGCCTGGGTGTGTTCTTTCTACTTAATTCTGCTAACTACCTGAGGTTTTTTTTTTTTGTTTTTTTTTTTTTTTTTAACAGTGGCAGGCTGCACTTTAAGTCCTATAGCTCAGTGTACACACAATGTGGGATGTCTTCAGAAGCCTTTACACACTTCAGAAGTGCCAGGGACATCTAAACAATGCCATATTATAATTTATTCTTCTCAGTTTATTACATCAGATTCCGAATGTGCAGTGTTTTGTTAGCTTACTTTGCGTTGATAGTAATCAGAATCAACCTTTGCTTTTATTGAGCACGTACTATGTGCCAGGCACTGTGTTGAGTACTGTTATATATATATGACCTCACCAACCCTACAGGATAAGGAAGTTAGGACCACAGGGTGGCTCTGGAGTCTCATAGATGAGCTTTGACTCCCGCATCCAGCCCTATGGCTCTGAGCAAGTCACCTAACCTCTCAGGGGCTTAGTTTCCTCATTTGTGAGAATGAGCAGATGACAATACTTAGGTCAAGTGCATGGCCTGGTGCCTGGAATAGTGGAAACACGCCATACATTTCAGCAATTATTATCACTGTGATTATGGTTGCTGACCACTAGCTGATGAGCAAAGTGCAGAGATAAATAATCTGCTGGAAGTCACATTGCTAATAACAGGCAGGGCTGAGACTGAATCCAGGTTTGTAGGATTCCAGATCTTTCCTTGGGCTACCAAGATACATCCATCCATCAGTCTGACATGTTTCAAGCACTTTAAAAAAGAGTTTTCAAATTCAGAGAAGACCTCTCCCCCAGAATGAGTGAGTCTGACAAGATTAGGGGGTCAAAGGTGCTTCCCAAGTAGTGGCAAAGCATGTGGAGAGAAAAGGCAAGGGAGAAACTTCTGTCTTTCCAGAGTGACGTGAACAAGGTGACCTTTACAGAAGAATCTGACAGGGAGAGGGAGAGGAGAGACAGGAAGAGAGGGAAGGAGAGAGAGAGAGATAGAGGAAGGGAGAGCGAGGAGAGAGAGGGAAAGAAGGAGAGCAAGAAGGAGGGGGTTGGAGAGAGAGAGAGGAGAGACAGAGAGAATGGTGTTGTGTGGGACAATGGCATCAAAGGAAGAACTAACAGAGGGGCGAGGAGGACGCATGAGACCCGCCAAGTGGGCAGATGTGAAAGGCTGCACAGTGGCAGGGGTGCGGGGGGAGAGCTGGGGGGGGGGCAGGATGTGGCGGCAAGGACTAGAGCTCTGAGCGGCCAGGGAAAATGGGAAGGCAGGAGCCTGGAGGACTGGCTGGAAATGCTCCGGGAAAGATGGGGAGGAACAAGATAGGGAAAGGAAAAAAACAGGAGAAACACGTTACAGGTACTCGAGGAAAGCAAATAAACAGCCAGAAGTCCATGCCTGGAAGGCGCTTGCCCCATCTCTTCATTTTGCAAGTGAGGAAACTGCGTGCCCACGGGGGAATGGCTGGGATTGGAGCCAGCACAGAATTCTTTGCACCAGTGGCTGCACATGGACTTCCTAAGGACCAACATATAAATACAGATGCCCAGGCCCAGTCCAGTCCTTCTAAATCAGACTTTATGGCCACAGTTCCCCCAGGTGATGCTGCCAGTGCACTACCACTCAGAGGTCTGGGGGAGGAAAGGCAAGAGTAACTGGACAATGGAGTGGACAGGAGGCACAATTTGCACGGAAGCCTGAGGAAGGCTGGGAGGTAGGCTCTGCCCATGACCAGCTTATATTTCTAGAGCAGTGCTGTCTAACAGAAATAGAAACGAGAGCCATGTATGGCATTTAAATTTCTCTAGACAGTATTTGCTAAATTTTCTAGGTATTTCTAATTTACTTAAATCTTCTAGATAGAAACTTTTCATTTCTAAATAAAAATTCTAAATTTAAAATTACCTTGAAACAAGTTAACAGAAACAGGGGACATGAACTTTAATAATATATTTTACTTAACCCAATATATCTAAACATGATCATCTGAACATGTAATCAATAGAAACACTATTGAGACATGTGCGTGCCTTTTTTCATCTTAAGTCTTCAAAATCCTGCATGCATTTTACCCTTAAAGCAATCTGATCTCTGATTAGCCAATTTCAAGTGCCCAATAGCCATGTGTGTTGCATGATACAAAGGAAACATGTCCATCGCTGTAGAGAGTTCTGTTGGACCGCACAGTCTAGACCAGGGTTTGGCAGCCTTTCAAAGTGGCAGGAAATGTTTTAGTGCTTTTTCTTCTGACAGGAAAGGGGTGGTGATCCACATTCTTGTATCTCTAGAAAACATGGTCTCATTCATCAGGAAAGAGGGCAAAAAGGAGATCTACTCCGTGTAGGTCTTTGAGATGAGTTCTTTTTTTCATTGTGGTACAACGGATGAGACGTGTAAAGAGCACAAATCCAAGTATACAGCTCGACACATTTTTATGTATGTATACACCCATGTGACCTACCCCGTTCAAGATGCTGACATTTCCAGCACCCTCAAAGGTCCCCTTGTGACGCCTCCCTGTCAATATCACATCCTGGAACTAAGCACTATTCTGACTTTTGCCATCATTGATTAGCTGGCCTACTTTTGAACTTGTATAGAATTCTCCCACTCAACTCAACGTCTGTGAGATTTTGTTTTATAGGCCTGATAAAATTTAGTCAATTTCCAGAGGGACCAGAAGAACCCCTCCCCCAATTTAGGCTAATAAAAGCCCCTATCCGCTATAGCACCATCTCCTTCTTCTTGTTCAGCAAGGCACGGATGGTCTGTCCATAAGGAAACAGAAAAGTAAACTTCTGGCCCAGGATAGCCTGAGAAGTCAAGGGTTTGCAATCTAGCAACACAGATGGGATTGAGAACTCTGGGCATCATATTCCTCTTTAGCAATATCCAGTGACCTGTGATGGAGGCAGAGACTCAGGGACAGGAAGGTGGCCCTGGGCCTGAGGGGCCTTTTTCTAGCTTCAAATTTCTAGGTAATGGCGAGTGAGGCTATGCTTGTCTCCAGCTGTCCCACCTCAGGACCTGCTATCAACCCTCTCTCCCTGTCCTTATCACTTCCAGATATACTTTTCTGGGTCTGGGGCCTGAAACCCCCAAGAAGCCAAGGAACCAGTCTTCCCCCGCCATCCCCCACTCTGATTTGTATCTGGGGGAGCTACTTCTCTCCTTTGAGCCACAGACCAGGAATGTGGGCACTTAAAACTGTGTTAGGGACCAAGCCACCTGACAGACTCTCAGATGGAAACGACCCTGAAAAGATCTTACCACGGTTCCCTCCTCCCTCTCCTGGCTGCTGAGCCTCAGAGGGCTTACCTGTGGCTTCCTGTCCCTCTCCTCTGGGGACGGGTCTGTTTCTCTGTATACGACAGCTTTGGTTACCAGCATGTCAGGATGCTGCAGTTTGGCCTCCTTGATGGCCAAAGCCAGGGCCTGGTAGAAAAGAGCAACAAAGTGAGGAACCACAGGATATCTAATACAGGAGAGGCCATGGAGACCGACAAGCCCCTTCGTGTACAGCTGTGGAAATGGGCCCAGGGAGGGGCAGTGGTCAAAGAGTTAAAGGGAGAGCCCAGAGCTCAGGGCCTCTGGCTCCTTCAGGCTCCCATTCTATGTCTCTTCCTTTGGGGTTCATTTGGGTCTCCTTGTCTGAACAAGGATCAGCATGAGGTGGACTTCATCTCTGCCCACAAGGGCAGCTGTCCATGGGTGACCCAATATGGGAGGGACTGGGGACTGGGCAGGGCCCCTGGGAACAGTGTTCCCTACCCCCATACCTGGTCTTGATCAACATCTTCATCCCCAGTGATGATGATCCGCTTCTCGATCCTCGTCTCAGAAAACCCCCCTTTCACAGTCTGTAGAGTGAGAGGGCGGTGAGGTCAGCCCTGGGTCCCGCGGGGTTGTGACAGGGCACCCATCCAAAGCACCCCTCAAGGGCGAGGCTGGAACCAGCAGTCACCTTCTCTCCTGGCTCCCTCTTCTGGTTTTGGGACTTTAGACGGCACGTCTTGCCTGTGGCCACCACTCCCCCAACTACCAACTGCCCCCTCTAGGTCTTCCAAGCCCAGGTCCAGTCATGTCTCCCTGATCCCGGTTGGTGACCCTGCCCCCCTCCTGCCTTGGTACTCCCCGAGCACCAAGTCTGTCTCTGTTGCGCGGTTTCCAGGGCTCTCTGCCTCACGTTGACCTTGTGTGTGTGACCGGGTCTGGTTCACTAGGCTGGAGCTCAAGGGCAGGGGCTGCATTTTGTTCATTTCTGTATCCCCTCCGCCCCTCCCCACCGTCCAATCTGACCAGGGCAGGTGCTAAATGCAGATTTGTTGAATGAACACATGAATGAAATGTGAATGGTGACAATCTTCTATCTTAAATGACTTCAAACAATACTACAAGAGAAAACTGCGTTGGTAATACTTAGAACCTCCACTGTTTTCTGAAAGGGCAGGGTTTGGGCACAAATTTAGAAGTAGAAGATGGGGAAGGACCTAATTGCTTGGCATATCAAGGAGAGTGGTAGCTGAGGGAAATCCCAGCAGGAGCAGACAGACAGAAGGGGGCTCCTGGTTGTCAGGGAGGGGAGAAACTTTGGGAAGAAGAGTTTTCTGAGCTGTATGCAGTGGCGTGTGTGATGGAAAACCTTCCCATAAAACTTTCAGTGAAGTCAACATTGCTCACAAATGCTTTTGGTGAGAGTGGCGGGGGGGGGCCGCTTTCTGGGGAACGTGCAAAGGTTTTGAGTCCAGCAGGAGTCCTGCACCCACAGGAGGGAGCAGGGCTGGGTCGGTGTGTGCACGGGAGGGCCAGCAGGCTTCTCCCTCGGATGACTCAGCAGAACCTCAACCTCAACCTGCCTCCCCAGCCCCTCTCCTCCAGGCCTCCCTTTCTGGCCTGGGCCCCCTCCTGCCTCCCTCCTGGCCACTCAGGCATAGAGATGCTTGGCCAGCCTGCCCCCAGCCCTCTGTGCTCATTGGCTGAGTCACAGCTGACGCCTAGGGAGTGACCCCTTCCCGTGGCCCTGCCTCTTCCTTCCCCCACACTGTGGTTCAGAGCCTGGTCCAGGCCCCCCAACCCTAGTCATTCCGTGACTCTCTCTCTCTCTTCTTTCTCCCATCTACCTGCGCATCCTTGTGGACCTAATCTCTTCTTAAACCTCTTTGCACTGGGTCACTCCCCAGTTAAAAAAGGCTCTTAGACCCTTCATAGTCACATCTGTCCTGGGATTTGTCTCATTTGTCTCTCCCTGTCTTCCCCTGCCTCCAGTCCACCCCAATTCCCCACAGCTACGCCCCCTGCAGGCTCTTCCTCCCTGACGGAGACCACTGTCTCTGTTCCCACAAACATGGATCACCGGCAGCTGCCACCAGCACCCCTTGCACAGAGGCGGGCGTAAAGTTGACGCTCACTAACATCCGCTCAGTGAACAAATAAACACATACACAGTCTCTGCTCCCATCTTCTGCATTGCTTAGAACATCTGCATCTGTCTTCTCCTCCCTCACGAGTACTACCTGGCTTCCTAAGACCCTGCACAAATTCCACTTTTCCCAGACAACCCCTCCTCACTCTTTGAGGCTCCCTTACATCACCCCTTCTAAATTCTGCCAGCACTTAAGGTCCATAAGGCGCAAATGCCATGGCTTAGAATTACTTCAGGTGACGTGGTATTGCCCCCCGCCAGCCTGGCTGTCGACGTTGAAGGGCAGGGTCTGTGCCTAGGACAACCCGTAGTACAGAACAAAGCGCACAGCACTCCAGAAACTAGACCACCACAGGTCTTCTCTGTCCACGATAAAAGGCACAGCAATAGCCATAACCTTCCCCAGCCCCACAGCCAGGCTGGGGGCAGACGGCGCCCTGCTGCTACTCACTTTGGTAACATGGGTGGTGGTGGAGGTGGAGAGGGTTTCCGCGGTGGCGCCGTACGTGCTGGTGAGGACATCTTTCCCGATGATCTGCAGAATATAACCACCCCCCACCCAGGGGTCAGGTAAGGACACTGGGCTCTGCAGGGTGGGGGTCGGGGGGGGTAAGCCAAGGAGGCCCCACGAAGGTGAAGTTTGGAAGCGAAGATGCTTCAAATCACTGATTCTAAGAATTCAGGAATACTGGAATCTTCAGAAGGCTAGACCCATGAAATTCTCAAACCGTTGACTCTCAGATTCCTAGAACCCAAGGTTCCCGTGGCCCAGAATCCTAACAAGACCCCAGATTTTAAGAATCCTGGCATCTTAGAAGAATGAATAGGGGATTCAGGGTGGAAACAGAGCCCTCCCAAGCCCCCACCCCGTCACAGCCAGGAATATGTGGGCTCCGGGGCTAGGACAGACTTGGAGAATGCAGGAGATGCAAGAGACCTCACAGTGACAGACTCAGGCCCAGGGGAGCCACGGACAGAGCCACATCCAGAGTGCAAGCCTCTGGACTCCTAGTCCATTTTTCCTCCTGGTCAGTAAGGAGAGCAGATGCAAACGAGCTGTCCCATCACAGGCACCACCAAGGAGGGGGACTGCTTCACCCTCACGCTGTGACGCCCTCTGGTGTGTGTATGTGGGGGGTGGAGGCGATGGATGAGACTCTGGTGGGCACAAGGGAGCCCTGCGGGCATCTGAGCACGATCCAGGTTCCTGGCGCTGGGCTTCAAAGGGCAGCCCACTGGGCTCTATGCTGCACTTGCTGAGGGCCACCTGTGAACCACATTCTCAGCACAGAGTCCCCTAGCCTGAGCTGGCCCTACCCACTTACCGGAGAAAGAGAACGGATATCCGTGGCCACCGTCTGTGGGCCTGGGATCATGGCGGCTGCCCCCTTCCCGGACTTGAGACTGTTCTCCTGGGGAAACAATAGTGCTCAGATGGCCAGCTCTCACGTGGGTGGGCCCCCAGGATGGCCAGAGCCCACAGCCGTGTAGCTCTCATGGCCACGAGGCGGAGGAGTGACACTGTCACGGGCTCACATGCTCACACACACACCTGCTCTCATACTTACTCTCCCACTCGCTCACCCACTCACCCGTTCAACATTGAGAGTGCCTGGGGTTAGGGACATTGGTGAACAAGACACGGTTTTGCTCTCAGGAAGCACTAACAAAGGAGGGGAGACATTCAGGCTCTCGTCCTGGCCCTGCCATGTTCTAGCCACGTGAGCTGGGGCACAGCCACCTCCTCTCCATGGGCCCCTGCAATGTCGGCCTGTCAGTGGTAACAAATGCCCCACTCTGGTAGGGGATGCTGATTATGGGGGAGGCTGTGCGTGTGCAGGGCCGAGGAGCATATGGGAAATCTCTCTGTATATATCCCCATATATGGAGCATATGGGGTACCTTCCTCTCAATTTTGCCGTGAAACTGCTCTAAAAAAATAAACTGCTCTAAAAATATTATAAAAAGACACGCTGCCCAACTCCCACAGAAACATTATGAGGTTAGCAGAGGAGAAAGGGCTTTGCAAATGTCAATCTTAGGATAAACATAGGAACATAGGCTGGCTACTAACAACGTAATAATACCTACTTCTGAGTACTTGCTATGTGCTCAGTATTATGCTAAGGATGCACTATCTCATTTAATCCTTGGAACAACCACAGGAAATTGTTTTAATATTCCTGTTTCAGAGTTGAGAAACTGGAAGGCCAGAGAATGTCAAGTGGCTTATTCACGTCCACCAGCGAGTGAGTGACAGAGCACGGATTTAGACCCATGTTCGTCAGACTCCAAGCCCAACGTGCAACAATACTCTGCCCTCAGAACTCTTACCCTGGAGCAGCTCTCCTGGTCCTATGGTGGATTCTAACTGCCAGAGACTCCTGCCCCATGTCTGGCAGGGGGCCTGGCCGCCCACCTCTACCTCCCGCTTACCGCACCATCTTGGGCTCACCCTTGTCTGTCCAGGGGCCCAGAGCTGGGTCTGTTCTGTAGCCCCCCAGCAGCTGAACCCCGGTCCTGGTCTGTGCACAGTACTAGATGTGGACCTCTGGCTGTCAGGGGACAGCTAAGGATGGAAGCCCCTCTGCCTTTGCCCTGCATAACGCCCCCAGGCCTGCCTCCAACTGAGGCAGTGACCTGTTACCTGGCATTCCCACAGTAAGCAACTTTCTCAGATGCAGTCCCAGAATGTGGCCCGGCAGCAGGCCTTAAAATGGGCAGTCTTGCCCACAGACACAAAAAGATGCTCAATATCACCCATCAGCAGGGAAATGCAAATCAAAACCACAACGAGATATCCCCTTACACCTGTCAGAAAGGCTAGTCTCAAACAGACAAAAAACAACAAGTGTTGGCGCAGATGTGGAGAAAAGTGAGCCCTCGTGCACTGTTGGTGGGATGGCAGCCACTGTGGAAATCCCGTATGCAGCTTCCTCGGAAAAAAAATTAAAAATAGAAATACCATAGGATCCAGTAACTCCAGTACTGGGTATTTACCCACAGAAAACAAAAACATTAATTGAAAAGATACACGCACCCCTATGTTTATTGCAGCGTTATTTATAATAGCCAAGATATGGAAACAGCCCAAGTGTCCACCAATAGATAAATGGATAAGGAAGACGTGATCTCTAATGTTCTTACTCGGCCATAAACAAGAATGAGATCTGACAATTTGCAACAGCATGGATGGACCTAGAGCGTACGATGCTAAGTGAAATAAGTCAGACAAAGACAAATGCCATACGATTTCACTTCTACGTGGAATCTCAAAAACCAAACAAACCAATGGAAAAAGCACAAACAGATCATAAATACAGAGAACTGGGAGTTGCCGGAGGGGACGGGGTGGAGGGATGAGCAGCCGGGGGTGAAGGGCAGTGTGAGGTGCGGGCTTCCAGCTCTGGAATGAACAGGTCACGGGCATGAAACAGAGAACAGTCAGGGGCACTGAACTAAGGCTGCGTTGAGGACAGATGGCAGCTACGCTCGGGGTGAGGGCGGCATACTGTACGGAGCTGTACACCTGAAACCCTTGTCACGTTGTATGTCAACTACACTTCAACCCCAAAAAGGGTGGGGGCAGCCTTCTGGGCTCCATGCTTCCTTCCTGCCAGCCTAGGACAGTCCTACTGTCACTCCAGGCAATTCTCCCCCAAAGCCTCTTCTTCTCCCTCTGCTCCCTCTGTCCCAGACGAAGCCTCACCTCCATCTTCACACTGAAAAGAGAGACCACTAATGGGGACACAGGTCGTTCGAAATAAGGCACCATCTGCTCTGCCTGCCTCCACTTTATCTTCGGGCAGTCCTCTTGCCTGCCTCCAGGAGGTGTGGCTTCTCTCCCTGGCCAGGGCAATGCCACCATCTGGGCTCTGGACCCTTCCTCCCTCCAGCTGAGGGCTCTCTTCCTCACTACCCTCTCTCGGGGCCGCCTCAGCCATTCAAGGCTTTCTCCCACGGCCACTGTCCCCTATCTCTTCAACGACAGCCCAGATCTTTCTTGAAACCGAGACCTTTAAAACCAATTGTCCCCTCGACATTTCCGCCCGGAAACGCCCCACAGGCACCTTGGACTCATCAGATCCAACATGGAATTCAGTGCCCCACCCCCGCCACCCGACACATACCTGCCACTAAAGAACGGTCCCCTCCAGGGCTCTCTGTTTGCTTCGGAGCTACTCAGACTTGAGGGGTGGCACAGACAGCTGGGCCCTGTCCCAGAGTTTCTGATTTGATAGGTTTGGGGGGAGGGGTGCAGAGATTTGCTTTTCTAAAGGTTCCCAGGACTGCGCTTCAAGAATGCCTAGGTTAGGGCTAGGTCACCAGCCCATCTTGTCCTGTCACCCGAACATTCTGTCACTGACCAAATCCTGCACCTTCCTCCCTCCAGTTATCCCTTAACCCTGCCCCCTACTCAGCATCCACCTCCTTGCACACGGGCTCCGCTGCAGCCCCTAAACCAGCTCCCTGCCTCTCTTTATGTTTCTGCCAATGGCATGCGGGCTCGGGTGCTGTCTGCCTTCCTCAGTGCCGGGCTCACAGCACCAGGCTCACAGCACCGGGCACAACGTTCAACAAATATTTGCCGAGGGAAGGAAGGAGGGAGGGAGGGAGGGAGGACAGGAGGGAATTTTTTCTTCTAGTGACGACCCATAGAGTTGCCAGGGTAAATCTTCCTAAAACACAGAAACACATGTTTGATGACATCACACCCCTGCATCAAAAGTTGATGCCCCACTGCGTCCAGGATGAAGTGTGAACTTCCTACGTGACATCTGAGGCCCTTCACGCCCTGGCCCAGCCCACCTTTCCAGCCTCTTCTCCTCCCCCCGCCCCTCCTCTTCCACACACCTGACATCTTGCTTCACTGACCACCTGCCTTTCCCCAAATGCTCTGCTCCTTCCCAACCTTTTGCCTTTGCACCTGCTGTCCCCACTGCCTAGAACGCCTTCTGCTGTGGCCACACCGTCATTTATCCTTGAAGGATGGCTCCGATGTCCCTGCCGAGGTAAAGCCCACTCAGCCCTCCTGGCAGGGGTGTCATCCCATACCTCTCCCTGCACCCCCTCGGAAAGCATTATCATTTTCATGAAGGCAGAGAAAAGAAAGCAGCTCTGTTTCATGAAGGCAGAGAAAAGAAAGCAGCTCACATTTACAGGCCCCTTACTATGTGCCAGGCATGCCTTTGCACAGATTACCTCGGTCCCTCCTTGGGTCAACCCTTTGAGGGATGTGCTGTTATTGCTCCCCATCACCCCCTTTTACAGAAGTGGAAACTGAGGCTTGGAGAGGTTCAGGTAACTTGCCCAGGGGTCATCCAGCCAGGACATGGGAGAGCTGGGCCTTGCTCACCACTGTGTGCCCAGGACCTACACAATGACACGTGCCTGTGATCATTACTTGAACAAATGACTTCTTGCAGGCAGTATATTTCCTTCAACTCTGTATTCCGCGAATCAGGCAGGCAACAGAGACTAAGAAATGTTTTTGGAAGAAATGAACGGATGGATGGATGGGTGGGTGGGTGGGTAGGTGGGTAAATGAATGATGTAACTGCCTACTCACCATAGTATGAACTTAAATTTAGCCCTAGAAGCGTCCTGATGCCACGTGGAGGACTGAGGGAGAGGTCGGACAGAGTGACCAGGAAAGAGGGTGCAAGCTGGTAACCGGTTCGGAGTTATTTGTCTTTGTTTGCTCAAAACCTACCTGCTGGGTAGTCTAAAATGCAATTCCCTTCCTAGGTGTCTATCAGGGGTTTGGCAAGAGAAAGCATTTGAAAACAACTTTCCACCAGCTCGAGACAGATCCAGCCCCGGCCCCGGCCCCACCCCCAGTGGCCAGTGTTCACAGTGGTCTGGATGAGGGTGCAGAGTGGTTAGGGTGCAGGTGCATAGTGAAGCTTCTGGGTTTGACCTGGCTCTACCACGTACTAGGTGTGTGACCTTATGAAGTCACCTTACCTCTCTGCACTTCAGATTCTTCATCTGTAAAGGGTGCAGAAAAAAAGAGAATCCCCTCCAGTTTTTCTGAGGACTCAGTGAGATCACCCATGCATGGTTCTTGGCACCTTGAATCGTGACACAGCCTGGGTGCCTAATGCTATCTGGTCTGTGTCATTAAAGGATCTGACGTTACTGGACTCTCTTAAGAACCTGTGAACCAGGGGCGCCTGGGTGGCTCAGTCAGTTAAGCATCTGCCTCCGGCTCAGGTCACGATCTCAGGGTCCTGAGATCGAGCCCCAGGTTGGGCTCCCTGCTGAACAGGGAGTCCGCTTCTCCCTCTGCCCACCCCCCCAGCTTGTGCTTGTGCTCTCTCTCAAATAAATAAATAAAATCTTAAAAAAAAAAAACAAACCTATGAACTAGGCAGAATGAGGATTATTCCCATTTTACAGATGAAGACACCTGAGGCCAAGGACCTTTCTTCACAGGTCAGACAGCACCTAGGTAGCAGAACCAGAGTCTTAGGAGATGGTCCAAAATCCTGAGCTTCCAATTTAGGTTCACTGTACGCCATCTACTGACCAAGGAAGGAAGTGGCCCAAGACATGAGAAACCAGTGGCCAGGGTCTGTCAGGGACTTTCAAGTTCAATCCTCACACCTTGCCAATAATCAAATAATCGAATGGTACCATCCTGTCCTTACCCCTGCTGTGGCTGAGATGGTCCGGATAACTGAGCCTCAGGGATTCCACAACCCACATTATTCAATTTGGAAAACTGAGGTCTGACTGGATGATGCCAGACAAGAAGAGATCGACTCTATGTCCTGTGCCTGACGCAGGGAGGGCAGAGGAGGACCGCTCCAGACAGCCAGTGATGTGACACTGTTATCTGGCTGTTTGAGGGCAAGGGGGCTAGTCAGACAGGGAAGTCTCTTGGGTCCTACTTACCATGGTGGTCGATATGGTCTCCGTGGTGATGGAGGGAGCAGTTGTTATGGACTCCTTTCCCCCTGGGGCAGTCCCATCAACCTGCTGGCCAGAGAAGTCATGAGAGAGAGAGAGAGTGCGCACACCGCATGTGCCTGCAGCATCCGCTCCTGGGCAGGTGGCATTCCCAGTTACAGAGGGACGGGCTGTGTGAGTACACATGCACTGGTGGGTGGGTGGGGGGGCTCATCCACACACAGAGTTACAGGGGGTCCTCACAGGTCCCCCAGTTCGTCTGAATCATCTTATTTGAAAAAAGTAAAAAAAAAAAATCCCAGATAATTTTGCAAACCCTATGCAAATCTCAATGCATGTATTCCTCAACCTAGTGATTCCACGGCCAGGAGTTCATCCTTTGGATATCAATTCTGAAAACTTTGCCAAGAAGTACAAACAAAGAAGTCCACGGAAGCATTCATCGTTAACTGCCAAAGACAAAAACAGCCACAGGTCCATTGACGGAAGACTGCAGGTTAAGTCAGGACCCGCTCCTAAGTGGGACTAAGAGTAAGGTGGGCCCACATATGGCAACGAGGAATGATCTCCAAGACAGTCATTAAGAAAAAAGGGTGAGGTGTAAAAGAGGACCTTTTCCGTGTAAAATTCTGCCATCTTGAGATGTAAATGTATATATGAGATATGCATAGATTTTTTTTTCCTAGGAAGAATTACAAGAAACATTTCAAACTGTTTTGTTCGAATTTCGTAACTGTGAACACTTTGTCACTGTTTTGTTTTGTCGTCAATAAGGATTACTGGGCTGTTGACTTTGGGGCCTTTTTAGTTTTCTCTATATTTCTCCATACGAAAACAAAATAAAACACCGGCCACTAAAACAAAATAGGCCACAGAGGAGGCGTGTGGCTTGAGATCACACGGCTCGTTACAACTCGAGCGTCTTGGCCGCTGCACCAGCTGACACAGAGACCACTGTGCATGTTACAATCGGGGAAGAAAAATATTCTGGAAACGACACAGTTGTCCACACTGTGTTGGTTTACGCCTCACTTTAGTTCTTGAAACGCAGACTAGTCTCCACCCCTGGCAGTGCAGCTCCTCTGGCCAGGAGGAACCAAGAGGGCATCTATCAGACCTACAATCTCAAGGTTCTAAGTTTAAAAACCAAAAACCACAAGAGGAACCTCAGCAATGCTCTGTGCACCCGTATGCCCATAGCGCACCTGTGTGTCTTTCGGACTGCTCCGTCCAGGGTACCAAGTATGTTTCATCTTGCTAAGACAAATGTTTTTTTTTAAATCTTTTTCTCAGTTTGTTCATTTTGCCAATGATATGGAACCCCCATGTGTTAAAAAAAATGATCCAGTATGAGTCGTTCTGACAAAAGCTGGATTGGGATCTCTCCCTCTCTCTCCCAAAGCAGCCCTTGGGATACCTCAAGAAACCTTTCCAACTCCTTCAAGCAATCTGAAGGCCACAGTCTAGTCCACTCGCTACTAGTCCTTACAGCACTCCCAGAAGGACAGGGAGACATGATCATTCCCATTTCAGAGATGGGAAATCGAGGCTGTAAGAGGTGTGGTCTACCCAGGACAGGAACTCATTCCACCGCCCACCCCCAGAGCTCAGGGAGGACAATGAAGCTCAGAAGAGCATCCAGGTTAACATGGAGGCTCTGGGGAAGCCGGAGTGGCAAGAGTTGGCCACGGGGCTTGGCCTTGGTGGGGACCCCACCCTTAAATGTCCAATACCTATGCTCAGGGTGCAATGGAAGGCCCAGGTTACCTGGCTGGTGTCCATAGTGCTGACTCTGGTCTGCAGGACAGCCTCAGGCTCAATCTTCTTTCTAATGGCCAGGCTGCTGACCGTCATGGTTTCCGTTTTCACGGGCTGTAGGGAGATGAGGGAGGACACTCCATAACCCAAGCCTCTGCATGACTCCTGCTCACAGGCCACTGTAGCATATCTTCCATCCCTGCAGCTGGCTGGGTCTCTGGAAGGGCACACAGGTCCGGGCAAAGAGGCCAAGCAAGCCGTCCCAGACAGCCTAGGGGGATAGCCAGAGCCACCAACAGCACTCAGAAAGGCTGCTCATGACCCCGCCACCACATAACCTCCCGGTGGCTGTGAGCTAGTTTTGGGCTTGTGCTGGGCCCCCCACTAAGTACTGTCCTTATATACCTGTCACTGAATTCAGTGATTATGCTGCCGCCTCCCAGTTGCTTCATTTGAACTGTTCTTGAGAAGAGGAGTCACACACCTGGGGGCCAATGGGGGGGGGCAGGCAGGAGATGTAAAGGGGTGCAGCGGGCTTATTGAGAACTGGGGTCAACAGGAGAACACAAGGGTTCCACTCAGGTTTGGCCAACGGCAGCCATGGCCTCTGAATGACTTGGATCATCTGATTTTTTTTAATGATTAAAAAAAAAAAAACACCTACGGATTTTATATTCCATGTCCCAATTTTTCAGTCAAAGTCAAAGAAAACACATCTGCTAGCCAGATCTGGCCTGGGGCCACCGGTTTTCAACCTCTAGTCTATTAGTCTCCGGTTAAATGATCAGTTTCTTCAAACTCCTCCAGCAATGTCAGTTCATGTGGCTATTAGCATATGTGAGCGGAATGAATGAAATAGCTTGCCATCTGGTTGGGAGGGTAGTGAGAGGGATTCTTATAGATTACTGTAACCATGAGATCTAGCCATTCATCCAGTTTAATCATCTATTAATGCCTGGCATGTGCAGGCTTAGAGGAGCTGCCCCCAGGGGGACAGTGGGCCTGGCAGCCACTGACCTGACTACCTAGGACGATGCCGGGGAGCAGAAACATTCCAGAGCAAGGGGGCTGTGGAGGGAGCAACACTTCTGCGCAAGGTGGTCAGGAAAGCATTTGCTAGGAAAGTGATATCTAGACTTGGTCCTGGAACATGACAAGTTTGCAAGGCAGAGAAAGGGATGCAAAACTTTCCACCCAGAGGGTAGAGCATGGAGTGGATGCCCAGAGTAGGTGAGCTCACATTTCAAAGCTCGGAACATGGGAGAGAGGAGAGTGTGGTGGGAGGTAGGCAGGGGCTGCAAGAGCTGAGAGGGCGAAGGAATCACAGGACAAAGACCCTCTGAAGGAAGGACACAAAGCAGAGGGACCCAGACACAGTCAATCCCCGTGTCCCCGTCAGTGATGCTGTTTCCTCCTCTCTAGGAGTTTCTGCTGCTACCCCGAGACCCCAGGGCCAGATGGGTTCAGACTGCTGCCCTTTCCGCCAGGAAGCCCAGGCCCCGGGGAGAGGAGCCAGGCCAGGATCAGTAAGAACCATCGACTTTCAGGCCAGGCCACAGGCGAGTCCACAAGCACATGCTCTCTGCAGGTGCCATGCAACACAGACAGGGAGAGGAGGCGAGTAAGACCAGATCGCCTGGCATCACTTGACCTCGGGCAAGCGATGGGGTCACAGGGTTAAAACGCCAAGGAGTGCATGTTAGGGGTGAACCAAGATGGCAAACATGCGAGCACAGAACCATGCTTTCTGCGAGGGACAGTCATGCAACACGAGACAGAGCTTCAGGCTGAGGGGCTCTGGGCTGCAGGCTGGCGGCTTGGTCTTCTCACAGATGGCCCGGGGCCCTCTGAACATGCAGTGCCCGCCGGGCCCAGGTCTCCAGGATGCTCCACTATACCTCAAACTGGGGCATATCTGGGGTGGTGCAGGCCCCTCGATCCGGGCTATCCTCGATGCCCCCAGATTCGTCTTCCTGGCTGAGGCCCCCCTTGTTGAGATCCCGGGAGAACACCAGGCCCTCGGTCTCTGAGTCGCTTTTGTCTCGGTCGAGCTCAGGCAGGCTACGGGAGAAGTCTTCGAAGGCGCTGCCATGGTAGTCACCAATGACTGTGAAGTCAACCTCAGCCTCCAGGCTGGACGTGGAGCTGACCGTGATGCTGGAGCACTTGCGCTCAATGGCCAGGTGGTTGTCCTTCAGGAACACCGCATCCCTCTCCTGGTCCTGGTCCTCGTCTCCTGTGTCACTCTCTGGGGCCCTGGGACGAGGCGGTTTGACCTTCTCCTCTGAGCCCTCCCTTAGCCCTGCTCTCTATGGCCAGATAAAAATCAAAGGAACGGGGGTGTGGGGTGGGAAGAGAGAAAGCAAGATGGTGAATGACAGAAGAAACCTTGGGGCCGTTTCAGTGTCTCAAATAGAAGAGCAGGTCAGGAAACGAAAAACACTCCCGGAAAGGTTCCTTGACATGACAACAAGCTTGAAAAACCCGCAGAGTTCTCAAGAGTGGGGAACGCTCCTCTCCGAGGGTCTCCCGCTGATGGCCAAAGCAAGTACAAAGCAAACATCCCGCCAGTTGGTTCTGGACAGGAAGCCCCATCCAAGGTCTGGAACTGGGAGCTTATCAGAAGCGGCATTGTGTGCAAGGCAGGGATGGGAGCCCGGACCCAGGCCCATCCGTGCAAGTGGGCATCGAGAGACAGAAACCAAGGAGGGGAGACCCAGGGATTTAGGGAAACCCAGGATGGGAAGGCAGGGAGGCTAGAGCCAAGAGCTTTGAGAAACAAAGAGGAAGCCAACATGGTTTGTCAATTCCACTGAGTCTCTGTGGGAGGGGGCAGTATCGTCTAGGGGGAGGAACAATATGGGTTAATTCCTGGGAGCCGGGGGCTACATCAGTTCAGCCCTGAGCTCCAGGAGGGGCGAGCGGGCAGGCCACCGAGTGGAGGTTCTAGTCCCATCAGTGTAATTGACAACGGCAGGCCAAGGAACTGCTGGAGGGGAACCAGCAAGTCTTGTCCCGCATACATACCTCTCAACTGGCCTGTCGGGGATTAAACACCACATGCACATTTTTGGCTGTTCCAGGACAGTCTTTTTAAAGCCCAGTCTAACACCCACCAAATATATTTTTTTTTTTAAGTAGTTGGCTTCAGGTTCTAGAGACTCAGTGCACTTAAGAGATTCACTTGCTAAACTTAGCTTCCATTTTAGCCAGTTTCTGGAAGGTTGAGAGGTGTGAGGACACATTCCAGACAAGCGAGAGTTGAGCTGCCACAGAGGCACTGCCAGCACAGGTGGGAGTCGAAGGCAGCGATGCACCCTGGCCAGGTAAAGATGACCGGGGCATCAGGGCACTGGGGGGCTGCAGAGACCTGAGGGCCCGAGGGGCTGGCGAATCTCAGGCGCCCCCCTTTTCCAGGGGGGTTTGCTGCTAAGCTGGTGATGGGCTTCTCTTCCCTGACCGCATCTCCGGATTTGTTCTGGATTAGAGAAGATAGTTAGTCTTAAGGAGGCAGAAAGGAACTTGGCAGTGGGACCAAGAGGGAACCAGAAGCGAAGGATGGAAACCTCTGGCCTGTCAGCTTCCCCAAGGCAGGAGAACCAGGGAAGGGAAAAGATGAAGGAAGATCATTGGACAAGCCAAGCAAAACAGGTAGGAGCCCAGCAGGTGGGGGCAGCAAGGCAAAGCAAGTATGTAGTCGGCTGGCGCTGATGCCACCTTCTCCACTGGGGCGGTGTGACCCACTGGGTGCCAGGTCACACCAAAAGCCGAGGGTCTCTGTGGCTAAGCTAACAGGGGCCAAGCAGATGAACCCGTCATTCCGCCCGGGCTACCCTCGGGCCTGTGTAGGGAAGAGAACTCATAGGAATGGACAAGCAGCCTCTGATCGCAGTGATGACGAGGGGCCCCTGAAACATGCTTCTACAGAGCTACGGAGCATGCGGTCGGCTCCCCCAGCAGGGGAGGGGCAGTGGTGGGGGCGGGGGCTCACGTGGCCAGTGCCCCCGGTGGTTTCCTCCAGCGCAGTTTCGCAGCCCGAATCAGGGGACATGAGCTCGAGGTCCGTGCATTCTTCCTGGGGGGATGTGGTAGCAATGCCCACCCTGAAGTGTCTGGGAGCCAGCGACGTCACTGAGGAATGGGTGGCTTTGGGGCCAGCAAAGTCCCCTGGGGACTGGAGCTGGACGAAGCCCAGGTCCAGAAGCTTATTCCGCTGTTGCTCTACCTGACCCACGGAGGCCTCTGAAGACAACTCGCTCATGAGGGCCCTTGTTTCACCTTGACTCGCTCGGCGAGCTTCAGCTCCATGGGTCTCAAAGATCCGAATTTTGTTGGCCACTGAGGTCTTGCTAATATCTTCCAGGGAGCCCTCTTGGCCCCCAGCCTGGAAAGAGGTCATCCCCTTTTGCTTCCCTGAAGGGAACACCAACCCCAGGGGTACAGCCCCCTTGGCTTCTTCAGAGACAAGTCTGGGCTTTCTGCTGGCAATGGGAGGTGCCCGGCGCTCACCTCCATCTGGGGTCACAGACAGTCCTACTCGGTCCTTGGGCTCTGGGCTCCCTTTAAAAGGATGGGCATGCTTGAGAAACACAGCGGACTGTTCTCCAAAAGGATCCCCAAGCTGTGGAGGCTCCCCTGACCCACGAGGGGCTGGGCTTGGAGAAGTTTCCTCCGGAGCTGCCTGAGCTTGAAAGGGATCAGGGGAAGCTGGGAGGGGGGCGATCACTTCCATCTGAAGAAACACTGAGGCCTTTCTGTCCTCCATCGCAGGTTCTCCTGTTGGGATGTGCACCAGTCGCCTGTCTTGGGGCAGGAAGTTGGCTCTGTCTGGCTTGGTTGGCTTCCTGACATCATTAGGAGGGGTGGTCCACGGAAGGGCGCAGGCTGGGAGGTCTGGGCGCATGCCCCCTTCTCTGTGAGGTGAGTGGTTCTGCCATCTTGCTGGGGAACTTTTCTCAGCCTTTTCCATCAAATCTCCACCCTTGGGGGCCTCTTCCTCTGTGCCTAGGTTGCATGCTGGGTGGCTAAATTCTCCTTCCACCCCCCGCCCAGCTTCTTCCCAGTCCTCAGCAAATGTCTGCCCTGGAGAAGGTCCCTTACCAAGCTGCTCAACA